AAAAAAAAAAAAAAAGGGCCCGCGAGCCAAGAGTAAAGGAGAAGCCGGGGGAGGGAAAACTACCCCTTTCCCATAATGCCTTGCACCTTCTACCACTCACCGGTTCCTCCGGATTTGGGGAGGGGCAGCCCGGTCCCCTCCGGCCACAGGACCCTAGCTGCGCAAGCGCAGAGAAAGAGAGAGGAGGGGGGGTCCAATAGGCAGGAGCCGCCCACCAGCCCTCGGGCCTGGCGCGTGCGCCGCGAGGCTCGGGTTTTTTTCCGTCCGCACTGCGCATGAGCGGGGCCGCCAGACGCTCTCTAAACGGGCGACTAGCGGGTTTTTTTCTCCCCCCCCTCCGGTGGGTGTGGCGTTTTCATTCGTTCCGCGCATGCGCCCGCCAGAATCTCCTGGAAAGTTGGGGGGCAGATTGCGAAGTTGTCCAGAGAGAGAGAGAAAAGCGATTAAAATGAGTCGTGATAAAAATGCAGTTTTAAATAGGCGCGTTTATTCGGAAATGACTGCAGCTGAGTTTTGTGAAATAGGCGCCGGATTGCCAATTAACTTTTTGCGTGTCTCTCTCTCCCCCCCCCCATCCCATTGCAGAATGAAAATATAAGCCAGGATCAAGAATCAAACTTCCTCAGTCTGGCGTTCCAGGATGGGCTGCTGCTGCTGCTATTGTTATTCCCATTCTGAGGATTGCAGCCTAAACTGTCTTGATCCTGCTCTGGCTAAACCTGACCTGGCTGAGGATTCTGGGAAATGTAGTGCCAGGAAGCCTGATTGGGAAAGACTATGCACTTTTAATACTGCTTCCCAGAATTTGGTGGACTTCACCTCCCACAATTTCTAGACAGCTTTCAGTGGAAATTCTGGGAGTAAGAATAGAATAGAATAGAATAGAATAGAATAATAGAACTGGAAGGGAGCTTGAAGGTCTTCTAGTCCAGCCCCCTGGTCCAGCAGGAGAACCTATCCCGTTTCAGACAAGTGACTGTCCAGTCTCTTCTTAAAAACCTCCAGTGATGGAGCACCCATGATTTCTGGTGGCAAGCTGTTCCACTAGTTAATTGTCCTCACTGTTAGGAAGTTTCTCCTTAATTCCAGGTTGCTTCTCTCTGACCAGTTTCCAACCATTATTTCTTGTCCTGCCCTCTGGTGCGTCAGCCCTCTTCTTTGCGGCAGCCCCTCAAATACTGAAATTGTGGCACTAGCACTCCTGGAGAGACAAAAAAAGGCAGCTGGAACAGAAATTGCCGCGTGGTTTCCTTCCCATCGGCTGGCGTGATTTTTATCAGCCTCCGTTGCTTCTTGTCCTGCCTTCAGGCGCTTTGGAGTCAAGCTATTCTCCAAGGCGCCTGAAGGCAGGACGAGAAGCAACGGATGGAAACTAATCAAGGAGAGAAGCAACCTAGAACTAAGGAGAAACTTCCTGACAGTGAGAACAATTAACCAGTGGAACAACCTGCCTCCAGAAGCGGTGAATGCTTCAACACTGGAAGTCTTTAAGAAGAGATTGGGCAGCCATTTGTCTGAAATGGTGTAGGGTTTCCTGCCTGAGCAGGGGGTTGGACTAGATGACCTCCAAGGTCCCTTCCAACTATTATTATTATTATTATTATTATTATTATTATTATTATTATTACTATTATTATTATTATTATTATTATTATTATTATTATTATTATTATTATTATTATTATTATTATTATTTCCAAAAGGGCCTTAAAATAGGAGCAATTTTGGAGAAGTTCCCCCTTGAGCTTTGGAATCGGGCAACTGAATTCGCAAGACAGTCCCGGAAAAACCTCGGGAAGAGTTTTCCATCAGGGACGCTAGAGGGCGCTCGGACATCGAGATCGCCGCCGGAGGAGGCGGCTGCCAGCAGAGGGCGCCCTCGAAAGGGAAAAGGAGCGGTCACCCCTTAAAGCAGGGGGTCTCCAAGCTTAGCAACTTTGGGACTTATGGACTTCAACTCCCAGAATTCCCCAGCCAGCTCCTCTGACATCGGTGGTTTGTTTGCAGAGCTCCAGTTATTTGCTTGCAGGGGTTTCATTACTCAATTATTATTAATAAATCATAAACATTATTAAATAATTTATGGTTGGATTAAATAACAGATTTCTAAGAAATAAAAATAATGGCTTTTTATGATATATATATATATCATATATATTCTGTATATATATCATATACAGCCTGAAGATGACGAGTGGGACCTCGTCGAAACGTCGCCAAGATACTCTCAATCTTACACGGGAAAAGACCCGAATACGCCAAGACCTGCATATATATATATACATATTCAAAAATCAAACTGTGAACACCAGGAGTATATCAAACTATAAAAAGTTTAATAACACAAAACATAAAACAAAACTACACCAAGCTTTCGTCGGACTCCTTCCGACATCGTCAGGGTTACGTGCCAGTCCATGGGAGAGTCCCTTTGATAAGCCACCCATCATCTGCGCCTGGCTCGTAACCCTGACGATGTCGGAAGGAGTCCGACGAAAGCTTGGTGTAGTTTTGTTTTATGTTTTGTGTTATTAAACTTTTTATAGTTTGATATACTCCTGGTGTTCACAGTTTGATTTTTGAAGATGATTACACCCAGGAGTCACTGTTTTAGTTTTAATGTTATTAGAAGTATATATACATATATACATATACATACACACACACACACACACACACACCAAATCAAGGAAGCCAACATACCAAATATGCCTATTTTCCCCACTACCACAATTGTTTTCATGCCTTAGGCAGGACTAGAACTCATAGTCTCCTGGTGATTGGCCCAATAATCCAGCCAGCTTTCCTGCCTAAGGCGGACTAGAAATCATAGTCTCTCATTTTTTAGCCTGGTGCTTTAACCACTAGACTCCCTCTTCACAAACACACTGTAGTGGTTTGTGTAATAACACCTGAGGGTTTGAGAATGCCTCGGAAAGGGGCTACGCTCTACGCATCTACAAGCCGTTGTGTAGAAATATCCCACTGTACTCAGGGATGTATCTCAAAATTAGCGTGGCGAGCTTTCACTGATTAGTCAGTTAAAAACATCAAACAATTAACCTTTGAGTTAATCAAAATGACATCCCTAATTAATGAGGTAGCATTTTTAATTTTGTAAGCTTTGAAGACAAGCCCTTCAAAAAAACTGCCATCAAGAAACGCAGGCCTTAAATTTGCTTCCTTAGCA